TTGTAGTGTTTACTAGATGGTGGTACTTGTAGCTGATGATGAAAAGATGCAAGACGTTATAAACTAGAAAGCGGTACTTGTAGTTGGCTCATGACCATGTACCTCGCACCCAACCTGTCGACCGGGAACATCAAGACATTCATAGACACTGCGTTACGAAATTATGAGAACAAATACAAGAATGGACCATTTGTACTACTTGGAGACTTTAACGTGGCTATCATAGACAATAATTGGCTTATCCAACATATGGCTTCTAGATATGCACTCAGACGTATATCGTTTGACCATATGAAACCTACCACGATCCGAGGAACATGCATAGACTTAGTATTTGCAAATTGCCCACTGCAACCCATACAGGAACCGCTCTCCCTTCATTTCACAGACCATAAAGCCGTCATAATGAAGGGACATCGCAAGCCATCCATCGTCTAAGAACAAATAAAAGTTGATTTGTGTATATACACACACAGCGTTTCTCACGTCTTTACATGATGATCGACTGGGCGAATTACACGGAAGTTTCACAGTTTACCGATGAATCCCTCCGGAGCTTCGCCCATTCATCATCATTCACCCCGTGAATATGCCGTAATTTTTTTTTTTCAGCCTTGCACGAACGAACGTCGTAAAACTACGACGCGTCAGCCCAGGGAAATCCCGCGGCGTACTCACCGAAATTTCAGCGCCGATATCGTGCACAACATGTTCCTCGTTGGAGTGCTCGCTGCGCACTCAATAACGACCCCCGTCCTCTGCTTCATCAGTCAGGCATATCGCTGCCTCTTCATCTTGTGTGAAAACTCACACCTGGTTGGGTCAAATACTTCCAGCAACACAGCATCGCGTAAGTAAGCCACGCTGAAGTAGCAGGAAGCTAACCGACTCGTGGGCGGAACGCCAGCTAGCAAGCCGCGCTGAGAGCAAAGACGAGTATCGTGACGTGGTTTAAAACGTCACAGCCATATCAGCGTCACAGGTGCCCGTCTCTCCACTTGCTGTGCATGGAAAGCGTCACGCGGTGACGGTTTCACGGACTATCCAGCAGCAGCTACCTAAGCGCCTAACTGGCAGATATGTTCACGCTGTACTTACCGCGCTGACCTGATAGCTTCATGTGAATGAAAAGAAGCCCCGCCGCGGTGGTCTAGTGGCCAAGGTACTCGGCTGCTGACCCGCAGGTTGCGGGATCGAATCCCGGCTGCGGCGGCTGCATTTCCGATGGAGGCGTAAATGTTAGGTCCGTTCGATTCGCCTGCACCACGTGAACCAGTTCACGAGGTGCTGCACCTTGTCATTCGTTTCAGCGGTGCAGCATTGACGACCGCTGAACCCTGCCATTTGTTTCGAAAGGTGCAGAAGAGGTGCAGCACCGGTTCACGTTTTTCCTGCACCTCCTTCACTGACGGTGCCGGCTTGGTGCAGGCGCGCGTGCAGCTGAGCAGACGACGCAGCACTTAGACGTAGGTGGCTTAGGCGCCGTACCCGCCTCTACAAATGCGGTGTGTTTTGCCAAGATGTTCGCGCCTCATAAACTGTCCGCATGTGCGTTTCGCCTAGGTCAGTGTTTGCTGAACGATGTAAATTAACCGAAAAGAAATAAGGCCAACACCTGGTCGGCACATCGTCATTTGTTTCGGGTGTCGTGCTGTGCCTACACCGCTGAACTCACGCTGCACAATTTCTGAACTTCGCGTGCACAGCCGTGAACCGGTTCCGACCGGTGCAGGTGAATCGAACGGACCTGTTGTAAGCCCGTGTGCTCAGATTTGGGTGCACGTTAAAGAACCCCAGCTGGTCGCAATTTCCAGAGCCCTCCACTACGGCGTCTCTCATAACCACACAGTAGTTTTGGGACGTTAAAACTCACAAATCAATCAATTATGTGAATGAAAAGAATTGCCATGGTAGCTCAGTTGGTAGAACAAAGGACGCGTTATTCGATTGTCGCTAGTTCGCTCCCTGCCCACGGCAAGTCATCTTTTCATCAACTTTCCTTTCTTCGCATTTACATTACGTTTTATTCCCTACATTTTTATTGGCATTGTTGTGCGTTAGTTTCCACTAATAATATTACCTAAAGCCAGAGACACAAACGCGCATCTCTGCGGTAAAGCCATCTATTTAGGAAGACCACTTCTCGAAACATATCTGCAAAGTGATGGTGCGTCAGTGAAGCGGTGGCGAGTGAATATTTAGCTGCGGGAAATATCGAAAATACCAGCGCACACTCCAACCTCCCGATACGCATTATTGGAGACTATGCTGTATTCCTCCACCACTTTTATTGATAATATCTGGGTCTTAACGTCCCAAAAGCACTATATGAACAGGGGGACGCCGTCGTGGAGAGCTCCCGAAATTTCGACCCTCTGGTGTTCTTCGACGAGCACTGCCCTCTCACAGTACACGCGCTTTTAACATTTCGCCTCCATCGAGATGCGACCGCAGCAGCCGGAATCGAACCCGCGACATTCGTAACAGCAGCCGGACATCGTAACCACTACGTCACCGCAGCTGACCTTCCCCCGCATCTCAACCCCCGCGTTTGCCTCTCTCTCAATCCACTTCTTTTTTTTTTCATCATTGTTGGGGGGAGGGCGCAGCTGGCCCAGTGCTGACGATGCGGGCGCCTTCTATTGACGTCCTTCTTAAAGCGACAAAAGTCTCGTCCACGAGAAATTAGAGTTAACTTCGTTGATATACACTAATGACATGTAAGGAAGCATGCATCTTGCATTGCAGTGAAACATTTGTGCCAAGCAGCGAAGCACGTAATACGCGGTAAGAGGTCCGTTTTTATGGGTTTGTTCACCAGGGTGTCTAACAATTTCGTTTTTCCGAATTCTTCGAATTTTCTAGATTTTCAACGATGATTAAAAGCAAGCCCCGCCGCGGTGGTCTAGTGGCTAAGGTACACGGCTGCTGACCCGCAGGTCACGGGATAAAATCCCGGCTGCGGTGGCTGTATTTTCGATGGAGGCGAAAATGCCGCAGGACCGTGTGCTCAGATTTGAGTGCACGTTGAAAAAATCCAGGTGGTCGAAATTTCCAGAGCCCTTTACTACAGTGTCTCTCATAATCATATGGTGGTTTTGGGACGTTAAACTTCACATATAAACCAAATAAATGATTAAATGCAAATTCCACGACCATCACGTCTGTTTGAAAAACTCTGTGCACTGGAAACAAACCCTCGAGTGGTTAAAAAAAAGAAATTAGGCACTCGTATAAAAAAATAAGTAAACATACTTACCATACGCGCTCAGAATGTTCTGAGCGTGTGTGGTAAACATTAGAAAATATGTGTGTATATATATATATATATATATATATATATATATATATATATATATATATATATATCAAATGAAACCTTTGAAACAGGCAGTGAGCAAGATGGCTGTTTAATGCTTGGAAGAACCAGTAAGCGAACGCACGAGTTGAAATTACCCGCAGCTGAAAGCTTGAAAGAGCCGCCGATATTCCAACAATGCAGCTGGAACTGCTAGGAAACTTAATGTAATCACTCTGAACTGCTAAATATTTAGTTAGCTAGGCCAATGCATATGCCCTTAATAGCCCACATAATGTCACAATGAGCTAGTGTGTGTGAGAGAGAAGCAAAAAAGTATGAAAAATTCACAGGGATGTCTGCTGTCATTTTTTTCTTTCTGCACCAAGAGTGTTTTCTTAAAATATGGCAAACCATTTTTCCCTTTAACGTGCAAATAAGACGTGCAGTGAATTACACTGGAGCTAGAAATGGTGCTGAACCAAAGTACGCAAATATGGCACCACAGAAAAACTTCTAAGGCAAACATGCCCTACCTTGTTTTACATTTCGTGGGGACATTTTTTGTAGAAGGAACCATAGGTTGGCGAACTCACTCATTCACTCCAATTGAAATGAAGCCGTGAGTCCAGGTGAGTAATATCTTAGCGAATTTGAGTCCAAATAAGCAACATTAAAGAAAATTTTTTATGAGCGTGAGTTCAAGTGAGTTTGGTTCAAGAAAAATTTTGGTGAGTGTGACTCCGAGTGAGTCTAAAGCGCAAGATATATTTCTGAGTGAGTCTGAGTTAGTGCCACTTCTTTTTTTTTATGACTCATGAAAGCGACTACTTCAAGTTTGTGGATACACTTTGATGAATAGCAATCGCAGTAGCTGCTTGTATGCAGGTACACTGCAAGGAATATACGAAAAACATTGAAGAGGCCCTGAAACAATTTTTCAAGTAACCATGAAATAGAATCACTAAAATAACCTATTGCATCACAAATAACGACGCAAGAATTTGAAGAATCTGTCCAATACGAACGGAGTCACAAAGATTCGTCGCTGCCTGCAATCGCATTCTCTCTTTGCCCGTCCCGACGAAAGCACTGGAAGCTGAGCAGGAAAAGACGGCATGGCATGGGAAAAGAAAAACGTCACACGCACCTTGTGACCTTGAGCACTTTTTTTGTTTTTCTTCGAATACGCGGCTTTTTCAGTGTGATCGCGTGCGCACGCGAGGACAAGTCCCGGCTTCCCACAGCGATCCCCTGTTACGTCCGAGCACGCCATGTTCAAAATAACCAATGGCACATAGATGGCCTTCTACGAGTGATTTTTGAGCTCTCTCCATCATTTTTCGAGGGAAGAGAAAGCAATTGGTAGCTGACTTTGATAATTTATTGTCAATTCCAGACTGCATGCTGCACTAAACGATTTGGCTCCCGTGTTTGTGGGAGCCTCTTCTACCAATCGGTAGCGTTTTCTGACTATGACAAAAAAGTGTTGCAGGGTCCCTTTAAATTCTGCGATTACTAATTTGTCTCTGAAGTTGTATTAAAGGTGAAGTAGAGTCAGCTTGTTTAAAATCACATTACTGGCAGTCAGTGCAGTGTGTAAGGCTACCTTGAGAAATGAGTTAGACAAAAACGAACAATTTCCCAAAATCTAGGCAGTTTCTGCGCACGCAACCAACTACAACAAAAGGATTCACATATAAGTGGCTGCCATCTAACAGGTACTTTTATTCTATCTCGATCCCCATTTCCTTTATCAGTGGAGAATCGGTAACAACACCCCGCTGAACGAGGCTTCCCACAACAGCCTGATTTTCAAGGTTTCCTTCCAGGAGATTCCTGATTGCCAAGATGACGTGCTGTATTATGACTGGTGGTAAGAGTGTCAAGGACAGAAACACAAGTGAGTATCGAGGTTACAGCACTATTACTCAAACGTAAGCATAGTTGAATAGCAAACTAGAGGCTCGAAGTGAACAGTGACTTGGCAAAATAATTTCGAATCAAATAGTTCAAATAGTGTATATCACATACTGTTAAAAATAATGAGCATTTTTGTCATGTCCTAACTAACTTGCACAATTTTTCATAACAAATTAACTTGCACTTCAATGCAACTTGCTGCTGAGAGGGTCGGTTCAGACTTGCTAGAAAAAGAATGGGTTCTTTTATGGCCTGTTCTAAACTGCAGAGCATGACTATGTGATTTCTGTTGTTACCATGTGTGATGTCGTACTTACATATTGACTGCAATGAAAAATAATGTTAATAGCGAACGTTTGCAGTCGTCCGTGTTTTCTGCGTTGTTATGTAGTTTGCACGCAACCACCTTTGTTTAAAGTATTTTGCACTAGGCATGTGTTAATGTAACTTTTTGGTTCAAAGTGAAGTGGAAGCAACACTGAATAGTCGCAAGACATAGCAGTAGCAGTAGGGTGCAAGTTATAACTGCCATATTATATTACGTTTTGAAAATTACTAAACTTAGCACACGTAGGCCCGTGTAACACTTCACGGTATAACATGCTTTTAAACTTTAAAAAATAATTGATTGGGTAAATGTAATATGGTCGTTTAACTTGTAAGTGTGACTTTACTAAAATGAGAACTTTGCTTAGAAAGTTAGTTTCACGGCATAGCACTACCACTCCGCAGTGAAACCACCTTTGCAATTAGTTGTTTCTCATCAAGTATACACAAAATTCGTTAATATTGAATAGGTTGAAATTTTGAAAATTTTTTAATTCATGCTGACACAAATTCGAATGCCGTGATATTCACCCGGATATTCAAATTATCTGAATATTTTTCCATTCCTTCTCAAGTGGCATACACATTTTCACAGTGGAGATCATGCACACAAGGGAATCACAAATTTCTTCCAGATCTCCTGCACAAAAAATAAAAATTTAGTGACAGAATTGCATATAATGAAGGTTTTCACAAACACTCGCCTCCACGTGAAGCTTGTGATATGGTGTTACCAAGTAAAACAAGCATTTCCGATATCTCATGCACTTGTGGTCAACAGGCAAGCATATCCAGTGAAATAATTTGAGAAAGGATACAAGGATTTTTGGCATCCAGATTGCACACATCCAGTATGAGGGGAATCCCATCCAAGTTCCTTATCTGCAGTGGAGCAATAGAATTACATGACACAAAAAGAGTAACAATTATGGCTGGATAGCAACACTTAAATGCTTATCAAGCAGATACTTCATAAACCAACAAATAAATAAGGGCGAGGAGAACTCTGTAAGTTGAAATACTATAATAACTAAAAAACAACTCAGTATGTCCAAATTAGAAACATTCTATCCAAGCAATGAATTTATAAAGTTACTGCATTAAGTAGAAGTACATAAGGTGCAGGAAATCCAGAGTAGCAATGCTTGCTCATATTACTGAATTACCATGTCTTGATGTTTCCTGTTGTGATGACACATATTGCCGATGAGCTGAACCAGGTCTCGCTTGAAGCCAAAGCTGTGATGGTCGGTTAACTCCGAGGTTCCCCTGTCGACACCGGTGAAGTCATCCAGATGTTGTGCGGGCGTGAATGCATTTTCACTCGATTTGCCAAGAAGATGAACTGTCTTCAATACCTCTGGGATCACAAGACAAGAGTCAATCTGTATCTTGAATTCTGAAGTGTATATAGAATGCTTGTGATACATATTCAATTGAAAATCAACTAAATGCGACAGTGAATGTTTGTTTTCTACTGCACATTTTGCCCTACACAGTGCCATGGAATGTGTCAACAAACACTAAAAAGGGAACTTATGCCAAAATTCCCCAAACTAGTGTAAAAGCTTAATATAGTAAAATCTACCAAGAAGGATTTGTCACAAAAACAAGAGGCAACTATCAACCCTACTAATAGGTAATGCATCACAGATAAAGATGGAAGAGTAGTGAAGATGCCCATCATGCATATGAGGTGCATGTTATATTTTTCAGAAGCAGAAATGGAGTGATTACAGCACATTGAGAAAAACATCTCCCATTAGTTTTGCAGTAAAGACATATTAGATGCTGTATTCATGAGATCTTTACAGCTGGTTTTTAAGCATTAATACCATAAATTTTAATTTATGAAAGGCTACTAGATATGCCTATTTAAAAAAGAAAAGTTGTTCTGTAGAGTGAGCCATTAGAACAAATGGATTGTACATCCCTTGCAAAAAACAAATACAAATATAATGAAGCAAGCAGTGCCGTAATGCCCGTTAATGAAGCAGCAACATGACACCAATACTGTCTAAGCTGAAATGCTAACATCAACATACCCAATGCAGTTGCAAGAAGCTCTGAACCGTCAGCAAATGAGCCCTTCAGCTCCTCATGTGCAGAGGCCAAACATAAGACCTTCAACAGTTTACAAATCTCTGCAATCTCCTGCAAAATAAAAATGATAAGCACAATGAGGCTAACAATTAGAGCTAATACTTTGAACAAATGTATGTCTCCATATAAATGCTGCTTTTATTTTGTCACATTTTCATAAAAGCCAGGAAGATTAGTGAAAACAGCTTGATATATTCGTGGTAGAAAAACAGAGCAATGAACTTGCATAATGCCACGAATTTCAAAATTTAACTTTTACTCCTTGGCTGCAAGTAGCCTCAAAGCACAACATCAATAATGTACGGCAGGCATCAAGCCTTGCATTCAGTACCCCAATAGGTCCTATAGGAGGCTAACCTAAATCATTTATCAAGAATGTGATGCCTTTCTATACAACAAAACTTTTAGTTTGGTGTGTTGTATGAAATCCTCCTTTTTAATAAATGTAAATGTGAACACATATGAGCATGACTGGCCCTCTGTCTGGATATGAAAGAGGTACACATTAAAGAAAATCACGATCATGACTAAAGCTGCAGAGATGCTGCAAGACGGGTTGCCTGCCATCCCTGCTTGTCTATTTGAAGTTCAGTCAAAGCACAAAGCCTAGTATCTGAAAGAAACTCGCAAACATTTAGAGTTGCCATATGGAGTAGTAGTTGTGGGTTAACTTTGACACTAGAGTTGAAATAGAATATCTGTAAATATGTGAGCATTTACAGGCTGAAGTTCCTAGGCATTGAATCTGCGACCTCGCGTACAGCAGCACAACATAATTAATTACCAGACCATCATAGCATGCCTCCTTTCACGCCGAATAAAATAAAATTTAATTGTCCTAGATTTCCATGGCTTTGCATTCCATGGCTGATTATGGTTTTTTTTTTTCATGTAACATCTCATATTATGCTGCATATCACATTCGCTTCCAGCATCTCCGCTTGGCACACAAACAAAACAAGGGTAGAGTGAACATCGACAAACACAGGCGGTGCCTTCTAAAAGATGTATATTTAGGGCGTCACATTCATATATATGGGATACGTAAAAGTCTGCAGAAAGGCATGTGTTTTCTCAAGTGACCAAGTGAAACAACGACTTTCACCTGCTTCTGTCAGCTTCATAGCACCTTACGATCAGACACAGAATGTCATAGATACTGTACTTTCCTGAGTATAAGTCACACAAGATATACAGAATATCCGGAACTAAAATGTGTATGCAAACACAAATTTTGGTGCGCAAGTTGGCTTCACGGCACTGCTTCGCGGTAAGGCAAGGGAGCTTTACAACGGGCGGCTTTACAACATTACGCGGAACATTTTTTTTTGTTTTCTTTTTTGCAAAAGCTATTATAAGGAAACTCGAGGCAAATTTATGCCGTCACCATTATGTTCGCATGAAGTACAAATCAATAACGTCACTTGTCTGCGTATGTTCCACGTGCGTATGAAAGTGTGAGGGTGCCAACAACAGCAGCTGAAGCGGAAATGAAACGCGCCGGCCGTATCCGTCAATGAAAGACGCACAGAGGTGTGCCAAAGGAGGCTTGCCCGTCTCCGGTGGAAAATACGCACTCTTATCGACTGAGCATGGTCGCCCGAGGAAATAAACAGGAAATAAACAATAAATAAACAAAATAACAAACAAACAAAATAATAAACAAAAAATAACAAACAAAATAATAAAACAAAAATATATAAACAAATAAATAAACAAATAAACAAAATTACAGGAAATAAACAGACGGCTCATACCTTTGTACGTGTTGTTCTCCCATCACAAAGTTTGAGTGGAATCTTTATTAAACAGCAAGAAAGTTGTTTTGCACGCTGAAGCGGCCGCGTTCCTTTTCGCAAATGTTTGGTTCAGTTATGCCAGGTCCCATGATGAAGGAGTGACGAGTGACCTGCTAGACTAACTCCATATAACACTCTGATTTGTTGCTATCGCATTCATTCGTTTGTCCGTGGGAAGGAACTGCGACATTATTTATGATTGCTATAGCAATTATATGGACAGTCTCGGCTGGTTTTTGCAGGCACCGCCACCATCATTTACGTATACGTCATCATCATCATCAACAACAACAACATCATCATCATCATCCACCTGACTACGTCCACTGTAGGTTAAAGGCATCTCCCATGATCCACCAGTCAACTCGGTCCTGCGCTTGCTGCTGCCACTTTATACCCGCAAACTCCTTTATCTCATCTGCGCACCTTACTTTCTGTCTGTCCCTAACCCGCTTGCCTTCTCTGGCAATGCAGTCAGTAGCATTTAATGACCAGCGGTTACCCTGCCTACAAGCTACATACCCGGTCCATGTCCATTCGTTCTTGATTTCAACTATCAAATCCTTAACCCCGGTGTGTTCCTGATCCACTCTGCTCTCTTTTTGTTTCTTAAGGTTACACCTATCATTTTCCTTTCCATCGCTCGCTGCGTCGTATTAAATTTAAGCTGAATCCTCTTTGTAAGCCTCCAGGTTTCTGCTCCGTAGGTAAATACCGGCAAGATGCGGCTGTTATAGACCTTCCGCTTTAGGGATAGTGGCAATCTACCAGTCATGATTTGAGAGTGCTTGCCGAATGTGCTACAGCCCATTCTCATTCTTCTAGTTACTTCAATTTTGTGGTTCGGCTCCACGGTTATTATCTGTCCTAAGTAGATGAAGTATTTTTCAACATCAAGCGCACTATTACGTATTACCCCTCATGTAATGTCCCATGTGGGACCTTTGAGGTATTATGAATGAATAAACCTATCTCGAAGCGCCGTTCTCTTCCGAGGTTGTTGTACATTACTTTCGTTCTCTGCCGATTAATTTTAAGACCTACCTTTCGGCTTTTCTATGTATATGTATGTATACGTACACAGGGAAGGATGCGCTAGCCGCCTCTTTCTGCGGAGCGAACATCGCCTTCCCGGCCGGGGTCGTCTGCGCACGCGCTTATCTCGTGAGCGAACAGGGGTGGGAGTAGGGGCTTGTGGTTGCCGCGCTATCGCGGCAACGACCAGCGCGCGCCTTGTGCTCCCAAAGCAGAGGGGAGCTTCTACGAACTGTGCTCTCAGCACGAAAAAAAAACGGTGCCAAAAGTGCACCTGGAGCGGTCGTGTTTTCTTACACGAGCGTTTTGTACAGTTACGTGATATAAGATTTGAATTAGTTGACTGCCAGCCTCGCTTCGTATATCAACGCCATCACTACGCACGGGCCTTGTCGAGGTGATCTACTACATGGCCGCACCGCAGAAAACTTGGTTACTTAGCAAGCGCATGTTTACTACAATTGATATTGCTCCTAAAAATGCTATAGCCTTGCTTCGTGAAACATTCTAATATGTTGCTATGGCATTCATTGCTTCACCCTTACGGCGAAACTGTGATTTTTTTTTTTTTACTCTTCCCCATCCACTTACTTTTCCACAGTGTGGGGGGCCCAGGTTACATGCAGGGGTCGGTTATACTCAATAAAGTATGGTATTCGAAGCTAATGCGAACAAGAATTTATACACAACTATTTATAGGAACTTATGCGCACATAGGACCTGACCACCAGCGTTGAACGTCCACGGAACTGCATGTATATTCGGAACACTCGTAAAACCTTGGGAGCTTGGATTTCCATCCCCATTGCTCATCTCCATTGCTCTGCCCCATACCTCTCAAGCGATTGGGACATACCTGGACATTTATTGTGTCACTGATATCTGCCGCGCACAACGTTATCCCTCTCTCTCGAAACCACTCAGATCATCACCACCAGAAAGAAAAGAAAAAAACGAGTAGAAACGATGGCTACCTGAAGTTTTGCCACTTGCACCTAATGTTCACGCGACCATTGAAGATGGATTATAGAGTACGGATGCAAAATGCAACCTGAACCACACCATTTTCTGAAAACATACACAGCCAAGCTGGGGACAAGAACGGGACAAATGAGTGGTGCAAGGCTGCTTTATCGCGAATGGTGCCCGAGCGGTGCATAATAACACGGTGCTGTGTGATGCCCGATTAAGTGGTCTGTAACGATGGCACCACCTCATTCCGGTGAAGTGTGTTCCTATAGCAAGACGCACAAGGTGACGATATTGTATCTACTGCGAAAGCTTCGATTAACAGACTTTCTGTCAAAAAGCTGACCTGTCGTATATGATAGTGTGAGACAGCATGTCTCACACTATCATACCTGACAGGTCAGCTAAGAATGTCAGTTTGCTGGCCTCTCATCGAATATATTTGTGAACATAATGATACAGAGTAAATGTTATATGCACAATAAGTGTTATATACAGACACAACGGCCCATGTAGGCACTAAATGCTAACCTACAAATTGCTGCCAGCTAGTGAACCTGTTCTACCTTTTCAAAGAAAAAAAAAACAAAAAAACATGAGCTCTAATACTGCACATGCCAGACACAGACGTCTTGATGAATTATATCAATTAGTTCCGCTTAACTTTTTAGAAAATACACTATTTATGTTTCATTAAACAGAGTAGTGTGACACCAGTGCCATGATACTGCCTCACTCACATTCATCAAAGAATGCGACACTCGCATACATCCATATTTTGTAGAACGCATTCGCATCAACTATCGCGCGCATTACGGGATAGCTTGTGAGCAACGTAGGAAATAAAGGTGGTCATTGCATAACGCCATACACTGCATAGGATGAAAGTATAGGCACTACTGTACATATCAGAATTCACTGTGTGGCACAAAATTACAAGAATAAACCCAGCTTCGAAGCTCCGTATAACAACCAGTGGAGGACGGTGGTCCGAACGGCATTCGCGAGAACTAGCGGCGCTTCACTCAACTCTTGCGTAAGCTCTTGCGAAGGGTTCCTCGATGCGCAATGGAGGGGAGCGCGCAGCCAGGAACAATACTCTTGCGCTACTCTCGGCGCATCCTCTGCTGCGGCGGCGTACCGCGGCGGCCCGCCACACTGTTGCTCGCAGTGGCCTTTTTAGCGACGAACCTCCTTACGCTGTTGGTCGTATATGTCCCGTTTCGTCGTAGTAGCCAGTTGCATTGC